AGACGGGATACGTGGCTGGAGCTCATGGAACAGCGAAGGACGGGCGGCAGGTGCTCCTGCGTTGACGCTCGGATGGGGAAACAGCAGCCGCATAGAGCGAACGACGCCCCAGGTCTCACGGACGCGATGCGACGCGCAAGAGTACGACTATGAGCCTCCTTTCCATCATCATTTCCACAGTCTTGCTGGGCTCAGTGGTCAGCGCTGGGGTAGCACATTATGAAGGCCCGACCGATCGTGAATCCGTCCAATCGACAGAGCGGTTACCCACCCACGTTTTGGACTTGTTTCATACGGTAAAAACTATCCCGGCCATCGATGGAATCCACCTACTAACCGATGAAACAGGGACAATTATCAACCAATGCAATTCGCCCGGCCTCATCGCCCGGGCCTCGATGATTAAACGCGAGGCGCAGCGAGCCTTCCAGAGGCGGCATGTTGCCTATGCATTGAAGCCCGGAGTGGGTCCGAATATGACAATGGCGTGGCTGTGTCAACTTTCACACCGTCGCGTGGGCGGATGCTTCCCGATTCCAGTCGGCAAAACGCCTCATGAACGAGTAAGACCGTGACGGGAAGTTCAAGGCCCTCCTTGGACACCATGTATAAAGGTCGTATGTTCCCATCTCGCCCGCGACAAGGAGCACAAAAGCCGTATCATTCTTGCTGTTCGCTTCCCCCAACTGCAGAAGCTTTGACCACCTCGAACCAGTCCAACCCGTCCTTCTACCGGTCTGCGTCAAACATCCGGGTAGATGACGGTCATCTGCTTCGCGCTTCGGTCCAGAACGGGGATGGCGATTGGGTCGACTCGAGCTCGACCTCGATCAGTTCATCGGCAACAACAACGGCAGATTTGAGTGGGGTGGTGAGAGTATGTCACTGTCATTCAGAATCGTCCGCGACCGCTACTTTCAAGCACATGCTATCCCGTCCTCTTTTTTGTCGGTCGTGGTGCCCGGGTCCGCCGGCGGTGGCGTGCTGGCGTAAGTTTCAACAAGATACAAGAAGGTACCAAGGGCTGACATGACTTTCATTCCATAGACTTCTCCCACTCAGCTGAGGAGATCGGCTTCAATATGGAGGGCGAGAACGGCGACGTCCCTGTCATGCGTGCTCAACTTTACGATGTGGATGGTAACCTCGTCGATGCGGACATCAACTTGGACGAGCGTGTTGCCAACGACAACGGCAACCCCATCTTCGGTAGGCTGTAGCGGCTGCTGTGGCAGCGTAGTTTTGCATGCAATGTAGGGCCAATTCCTGAGACTAGGAAACAGTGTAGTCGGTGATTATCAGTCCGACCCTTGATTTGCTCTAATCCGCCCTCCCGCGCGATTTCCAACGAGGCGATGCACCTTCATTCCGACAATC